AAGCGCTCGGAACCATTGACTTGCGTGAGACGATCCGAGCGATCGTGCAAGAGGAGCTGCGAACATTACTTCCTTCAGCGCAGCCTCGCGTGGAACCATCGCGGACGTCGTACGCCAGGAGATCCAGCAGTCGCTGGGCGTTCTTAAGCCTCAAGAGGCGCAGCTGCAAGTCATGAGCTATGCTGCTGCAGCATGCCGCCACGCCCCTCCTCCACGCGTACGCCAAAACGCCCCCCCATCGCACTTCCGTCGCCAGACACCACCTCCGCCACCACCCCCACCGACGACCTACCGTTCGCCAGCGGGCCAGCGCAGTGCGCCGAGAAAAACCGACATTTGGCGCACCCCTGACCACCGCCCACTGTGCTACCACTGCGGCGAGGCCGGGCACACTTACCGCCGTTGCCAGTACCCACAGATGGGACTGCGTGGCTTCGCCGTCGATGCACCACGTCCGCAGCCAGGGGAACGGCCACGTGACATCGCCGACTACCTGACAGGAACTCAATGGACACCCCGAAGTCCTTCCCGTTCGCCGTCGCCCTGCCGCCGCATGTCACCGCACCCCCGGCAGTACTCCAACCCCACGCGTGACCGGTCTCCTAGCCCGTATCCGGGAAACTAAGGGCAGCAACCGGTGGAGGTGCGGTTGCTGTGCGACGAACTACCGAAGATCTTCCGACGACGACGCCGCCATGACGGAGCTTTCCGAACACAACGCCAACCAGACAAAGCCCTGACGGCGAAAGCTCACTTACCGAAGGTGGCCTGGCGACGCAATATAGAAGCAGCGGAACAAGCCGACGCAGCTGTGACCCGACGCCACGCCCTAACTGTAATGCGAGACGGTGAACTAGCGACCTCGACGTTTTTATCGACGGTCACAGTGTGACCGCTCTCGTCGATACTGGAGCCGACTACTCTGTCATCAGTGGGTCGTTCGCCGCGAAGTTAAAGAAAGTTGGGAGAGCTTGGAAAGGCCCTGAAATCCGCACAGCCGGAGGTCATCTCGTAACGCCTGCAGGAATCTGCACAGCGAGAGTCACCATTAACGGCCGTATTTATCCTAGACTTCGTAGTCCTACAGCGTTCCTCGAGAGATGTCATCCTTGGCATGGACTTCTTATGCATCCATGGTGCTGTCATCAACCTAAAAACAAAGTTGATAACGTTATCCACAGAAGAAGCACTACCGCCGCGCACGCCGTCAGGACACCATGCCTTGAATGTGCTGGAAGAACAAGTCACCATTCCGCCTCGCTCAAACGTCATTATTTCAGTCGGCACTCCTAAATCACCTGCCTTGGAAGGCGTCGTTGAAGGCAGTCAGCATCTGTTGGTCACCCGAAATATTTGCGTCGCAAGAGGAGTTGCAGAGCTGCGGGGAGGCAAAGCAACGGTTATGCTCACGAATTTCAGCAATGAGTACAAACATGTGAACAAAGGAACAACGGTCGCATACATCGAAGAAATTGTCGAAGCCACCAGTGCTTTCGCCCTCGCCGATTCTGCGGAACCTGCTCAGAGGAACCAAGCCCCTCCCATAGCTTTCGACGTCAATCCCACACTTCCGAACGATGAGCAAGAACAGCTCAAGGCCCTGCTCCTGCAATACGAAGATTGCTTTTCGTCGTCATCGAAAATTCGGCAGACCCCAATCCCGAAACATCGCATCATATCCGAAGAAAATGCCAGACCACTCCGTCAGAGTCCGTACAGGGTTTCGACGCGAGAACGTGAGGCCATGAAGAGACAAGTTGATGAAATGCTGCAGGATGGCATTATCTAGCCGTCCAAGAGTCCATGGGCATCCCCCGTGTTGTTAGTGAAGAAAAAGGATGGGACCCTGCGTTTCGGCGTCGATTATCGCCACCTGAACAAAATCACAAGAAAGGACGCGTATCCTCTCCCACGAATAGACGACGCACTTGATCGGCTCCATAACGCCAAGTACTTTTCGTCAATGGACCTCAAGACTCGCTATTGGCAAATCGAAGTCGACGAAAGAGACTGAGAGAAGACGGCGTTTATAACACCGGATGGCCTCTTCGAGTTTTAGGTGACGCCCTTCGGCCTTTGCTCAGCGCCTGAAACTTTTCAACGCGTTATGGATACAGTACTGGCAGGATTGAAGTGGCAGACTTGCCTTGTGTATTTGGACGACGTCGTCGTGTTTTCCTCGAGTTTCGACGAGCATCTTCGGCGCCTTGAAGCTGTACTTCAAGCCATCAAGACGTCCGGACTCACACTGAAGCCAGAGAAGTGCAGATTTGCGTATGAGAAGCTCTTGTTTCTAGGGCAAGTTATCAGAAAGTCTGGAGTTCGTCCCGATCCACGGAAAACAGACGCCATCGCCGACTTCCCGCCACCCACTGACAAGAAGGCCGTGCGCCGATTTCTGGGCCTGTGCGCCTAATAATATAGGCGGTTCATGAAAAACTTCGCCCGCATCGCCGATCCTCTCACTAACCTTACTAAGGCCGACATGGAGTTCAAGTGGGAAACGCCACAGGAACACGCTTTCCAGGAGCTTAAACATCGCCTCCAGACGCCTCCGTTACTTGCCCATTTGGACGAATTCGCCGAGACAGAAGTATATGCTGACGCAAGCAGCGTAGGTCTTGGCACCGTTCTTGTGCAGAGGGCTGACGGACTTGAAAGGATTGTTAGTTACGCCAGCCGATCGCTATCCAGAGCAGAAGCAAATTATGCCCCGCCGCAGTTGTCTAGTGGCTAAGGTACTCGGCTGCTGACCCGCAGGTCGCGGGTTCAAATCCCGGCTGCGGCGGCTGCATTTCTGATGGAGGCAGAAATGTTGTAGGCCAGTGTTCTCAGATTTGGGTGCACGTTAAAGAACCCCAGGTGGTCGAAATTTGCGGAGCCCTCCACTACGGCGTCTCTCATAATCATATGGTGGTTTTGGGACGTTAAACCCCACTTATCAATCAATCAAGAAGCAAATTATTCCACAACAGGAAAGGAGTGCCTCGCCATCATCTGGGCTACGTCGAAATTTCGCCCCTACTTCTCTACGGCAGGCCCTTCATAGTTGTGAGCGACCACCACGCCTTGTGTTGGCTAGCCACCTTGAAGGACTCTTCAGGTCGCCTCGCACGATGGAGCCTGAGACTTCAAGAATATGACATTACTGTCATTCACAAGCCCGGCAAAAAACACTCCGACGCCGACTGTCTCTCTCGTGCGCCTGTCGACCAACCGCTACCCGACGACCCGTATGACGACTACTTCTTGGGAACGATAACTACCGACGACTTCGCTGAACGACAGCGGGCCGACCCGGAACTTAAGGCCCTAATAGAATACCTCGAAAGCAGGACCGCAGAAGTCCCGAAGGTATTCAAGCGCGCACTTGCGTCGTTCTTTCTACGAAACGGTCTTCTACAAAAGAAAAACTTTTCACCGCTTCGAGCTAAGTACCTCCTTGTGGTGCCTTAAGCTCTGCGACCAGAACTCCTGCAGGCCCTGCACGACGATCCGACGGCATGGCACCTCGGTGTTTCTCGCACGCTCGCGAGGATACAAAAAAGGTACTACTTACCACGTCTTAATACCGATGTCACTCGTTATGTGAGGACACTCCGGGACTGTCAGCGACGCAAGACACCACCAACAAGGCCAGCGAGACTTTTGCAGCCAATTGATCCACCTTGCCGACCTTTCCAGCAGATTGGTATGGAACTACTGGGGCCGTTCCCGACGTCGGCTTTCGGAAACAAGTGGATTGTGGTAGCTACCGACTACCTCACCCGCTACGCCAAGACAAAAGCCCTGCCAAAAGGCAGTGCATCCGAAGTAGCCAAGTTCTTCGTCGAAAATTTTGTCCTACGTCACGGCGCCCCGGAGGTCCTTATCACCGACAGAGAAACGGCATTCACTGCCGACTTAACTCAAGCGATCTTGGCATACAGCCAAACAAACCGCCGCCGGACGACAGCGTACCACCCACAGGCCAACGGCCTCACAAAGCGGCTTAACAAGACGATCGCCGACATGCTGTCAATGTACGTCGATGTCGAACACAAGACGTGGGACGCCATTCTTCCGTATGTGACCTTCGCATACAACACGGCGGTGCAGGAGACGACGCAGATATCTCCATACAAATTGGTCTACGGAAGGAGCCCGGCAACGACGCTCGATGCCATGTTACCCAACGTCACCGACGAAGAAAACCTCGATGTGAGCGAGTACCTTCAACGCGCCGATGAAGCCGGACAACTTGCGCGTCTCCGTATCAAGAATCAACAGACGACCGACAGCCGCCGTTACAATCTTCGACTACGCTTCGTGGAATACCAGCCCGGTGAACGTGTTTGGATGTGGACGCCGATACGCCGACGTGGACTAAGTTGAAAGCTTCTGCGACGGTACTTCGGACCGTACAGCGTGGTTTGACGTCTCGGCCCACTTGATTACGAGGTTGTCCCCGACGGCATCACAAACTCTCAACGACGCCGATCGCGACCTGAAGTCGTCCATGTCGCGCGCCTCAAGCCGTTTCACGCGCGTTAACAAACGGAAACAGTGTTTTTTTGTATTATTGTTGTATCGTTATTTATTCATTGTACTTTCTTGCATTATTGTTGTACCTTCATATTTAGTTAAAGCATCGGGACGATGCCTTTTTTCAAAGGGGGGCGATGCCACGTTCCATTTCCCAAGTTTTTGTTATCGTCCCAAAACACCACACGATTCTCAGCGCAAACCGCGCCTGCAGTTTTCGAAAAGGTTCCGGACTGTAGTAGATAATTTCGATAAGATCACGCCCACTGTGCGAACGGTGCAGATTGTTCTGGAACCTACGCCGCCGCCAGCGATAACGCTAGAACATTCGCCGGCAAGAGTATAAATGCCGACGCGCTTCGCCGCTTGTCAGTTGTTGATCGAAGGCCGACGCTCCGTTCGCCGCTATCAGTCCGACTGCTATCTGTGCAAGACTGCTGCTGTAATTGGACTTTCCGTTTAGCGGGCACAGGTTCGCCCAAATAAACAGTTAAATTCTAACACGAAGTCTCCTGTCTTCGGCCACGTCACGACCCCGTGAGAGTATATTTAAATTTTGACAGACCACTTTGCTGTCTGTGCAATTTCAGGAAGTTTCGGAAGCATCAGCTGGACAGCGAAGTGAGTGAAATGCATTATCGTTTCACATTGGCCTAATAGTGTGCAAGTGTCAGTAAAATTCAGCACTTTGCATACTTTTTATAGATGGCAGAGAATATATACTGTAAAATCCCAAGTCAGTGTTTCTGCCTTCTTTAGAGAATTTCAAATATGCGGCCGCTTGTCTGCTCTAACCATTTTCACTCTTTTATACTGTTTATGCGCCAAACTAAAACAGTTAATGCATGTGTTTGTAGCTCATGAAGAACAATGCTGCACTACCCCTGTCCCCTCTCTATCTCCAAAGGACGAAATGCTGCTGCAATACTTGCTTTGTTTTTGTTTGAATGCCTAAAATTTTTGCTGGGTACTGCAGGTATCAAACAGATGTGCCCTGACAAACTGTGCAGTGCTGACCACATGGTGAGCCAAGCATCCCATGAGAGGGGTTTACTCATCATCTGTGGATAACTCAAAGGTAATTTAAGAAGTTCCATTTAATGAAGAAGAGTGTTGTTTTGAGCCAGTCATGTCGAAGTGAAAATATTGCAAAATTAGTGACGGTATACAGAGTAACAGCAGGGTGTAAGCTACCTGCCAACTTAACATTATTGATGCCAAAGTGTTATGTATGTGCAACCTATATTTGAGGGAGAAGTGCAATGGTTTCCATGAATTTACATAGTTGGAAAGTGCTGCACAACCAGTCACTGTGTATTTGCACTCATTAGTGTGTGGCCCTTATTCTTGTGACCTGCCACTGCGATGAAATTGCTTCACATAAACAACAGTAGAAAAGCTCTTGATAGCTATAATAAGAAATTATTATTATCATAGTTTTTAGTTCCAATAAATTATGCTTTAGAAAAGTTCTCCACCTATTTGTTACCATGGCGAGGGCAATTCTTCAGGAAACGAGACTTGGTTTGGCAAAGTGTTGCCTTTTTGTAGAATAGGGTACTGGCTAGTGGAATTTTGCAAAAACTGTAAATATTGTTTCTTGCAGCAAGCATTGTTATCTTTCTTTTAAATGCATGCATAGTGTGAAGAATAGTGATCCACTTTGAAATTTACAACCTTATCATTGCAGCGTCTTGGACTGCCTTTACTGTATGTGATTTGTTTCTGCAAAGATAAACATCATTTTCAAGGTCAATTGCCAATTTTTCTGTGTACATTTGCAAGCACACTTTGAACTCAGATGCTAAACGACAGGCTTGAGTTATCTGCCTGATTCTTGTCTATGAATTTTATAGAGTACCTAAAGTAGACTCTTCTACTTGGCGCAAGTATTGGATACTGTTTGCACGTTCTATGCATCTAGATATAAAAATGGAGAATGCAGCTGGTAGTATTGAATACTGTGTTCAGAAGCCCTTATACACTGCGAAATCTTGCTGGTGCCAAAATTTGTTGTGGGTGTATGGTGAAGCGACTGGTAACTAGCAATAATGCATTGTTACAGCTAATTGCACAACAGAGCATTTTTCAGCTGCTCACGTAATTCAAGCCGATGTAGATTACGTTCACTGTGGTACGACAAAGCCACAAAGTTCATGCATCTGTATCCTGCATACCAGGAAACCTTATGTGAAGCAACATGATGATTGGGGCAGCTAAGTGAAAACTGAGTTTTCTCCGTCTGTCAATATCATTACACAGGTTTGCTGAGCGCACTCGAGTAGATTCAGCAGGCACTTGAAGCTACAGAGTCAGTAGTAACAGCACATTTCAATTGCAGAATTACCTAGCTGTATATTGCATTTTCCAGCAACTCCATTATTTTGTGACACCTTAACGTCACAGCTTGCTTACTCATTTCTTGGTGGTGGGACTTTACAAAAATTGTAATTTCTTATATCATGCAAAATTATTCTATTATTTTTATATGGTATAATAAATTTAAGCTTTTCAACTGCTTCCTCCCCCACTAATGCTGTACTTCTGCTGGATTGTCTCATGGGTTAAAAAAGAAGCCAGGCCAGGGAAAGGAATAAGGTGCTCTAGTATAACATAAGCGAGAAATGCTGTGGTTCAATCTATAGCTGAACATTTTTAAAAGGCACCAATGTGGATACCATGTGAGTGTTTACAGAGCATAATTGTGTTGTGCTACTTTTTTTATCGCAGAAAGAACCTCCCGAAAGCAGTGCTACAAGGATGTGAGCCACAAGTTCTTTTCAACGAACGGATCAGATGCCTGAGAGCCATGGGCCGGCTGTTTCTGGCCTACACAGACAGTGCAGTCAGCACAGTAAAGTTCTTGCAAAGGTGTGAGACATTCCTATGTTGCATAGAGTGAGCATGTTAGTTGTCAGTTTTATAGCTTATAAGGACATGTCTACAAAACTAATTCCCTAAACAGTGTGTTTTACATTCTCGCAAAGTGCAATTAGACAGCTTTGGCTCTGTCTTTCTTTTTTATCCCCTTCCAGACCATCTTGATAATTCATGCAGAGTGCTGCAGCAATCGCATTGTCTGAGTATCACAGAAACTTCATTTCAAAAAACAATTATGGTGGCCCTTTCATGCCTGACCAGTGTATAGGTACTCTTCGCTAGCGAAGTGATGTGATTTTGCACTGACAGTCGGTTGGTTCTCTCTGCAATATGAAATAGTGTTTTGGCCTTACAATTACGCCGTATAGATTATCTGGATGGGAGGCATGCTGCATATCTCTTTATCTCACCTATGCCTTGTACAGTACTTCCACACCGTGCCGATGTAGCACAGCGGCACATCAACGAGGCCTTGCTTAGTTGATGGCTGCATGTTGATTGCACAATCACTGACGTCATGCTTTGTTGCCATGTGACTGTAGTCATGATGGTAACGTGTGCGTACCCCTCGTCACGATGAGAACGATGAAGAAGCCAAGTAAGAAACCTGAAACAGCTACACTGTGTGTTTTATTGGCTGTGACTTCTTCACTTCATCATGTGAACATGAAATTTGTGGCAACGTGCTCACATTTTACAATTTGGCAGTTATCAGAAATTTTAGACAGTGGGGTTGTTTAGTAGCTTTTCACATTTCAATTATGAATGGTCCATTGATGCACTGCATGGATTTGTTGATTTATATTTTGCAATGCTCATCTGTGAAATAGTCTGCAGCTTCTGTCAATATCTATGTGCTCATTATACGAGCCATACTGTATGTTCAATATGTATCATAACCAGCAAAAGTTTGCGGGACACGAAATGTTCCATGAAGCTATATTGTCACTTTGTCTAAGAATGTAATTTTGAAAGAAATATCTCATACTGCACTTCGCATTGCGACCTACGCAGTCGCGAGTCTAATTACAAGTGTTAACTACCGACGTAGCGGAAATTCGCATTTGTTGTGGATTCAACATCTACCAAGCTACCAAGCTTTTCCTGTTGATAGTACTTTCATGGATTTTTCATGGCACTAGAGCCACCTCCTTTCTCCGGGTTTTGCAGCTACATAGCTGGCAGTTAATTGCTTTGCTGCTTTGTTTACCTAATACCTATTCAACCAATGCATCTAAAACGGTGTTTTGGGTGTACTTACATCATTAGGTGTTTAATATTTTACTAGTTGTGGAGCTTTTTTCGGTCTTTTGGCTTTTACTTTTTGGAAATTAATTACTGTTTTCAGAGCAATCTGTAGACATCAATATTGACTCTACTAAGCTTTGGTTCAGAAAGAAAAGCTGAACAGTTGCCGAGGTGCATGGCCTGCGCCACAACATTCTGGGTTACCAGAAATAGATTCTAGGCCGGATAATATGTGGCTCCTTGCTAGTTGCGCGTCTTGCTTTTACTTGGAGCTTGTTTCATTGTCATAAAATTTATCTCACGTTGCTTACAGCTATGCTACCTTGGGAACAACCCCCCCACTGAGTGGATTTGATCTTTAGAGCAGCAGTTGCACTTAAGAAGGAGGCAAAAATCCCCTGAGGCCTAAGTGCTTTGAATTGAAACTCACATTCAGAACCCCATTATTATTGTAACATCAAGTGAATAAAGTGGTAATTCTAGATTTTATACATATTTCAAATAAGAGAGATGAGCTGCTCTGTAGGTTGGTATTCACGTTAAAAGACAGGGCATGCAAACATGGACTCGAGAGAGTAGTCAAGACACCGCAAACACCAAGTGGAAAAGGTGACATTAAGCTACAAACGAAACAAGGCAAGTGGAGATATCGATCAAGATGGCATGCCTGTTGGTCTATGTGAGAAAAACCGGTGTTTTGATGCCAAATGTAGGAAGAAGTTGTTCCAGCACTATTTTTGGGGAAAACTTTCTAATACAGCAGAGACCTTTCAAACCATGTTTTCCGAAATTGAGTTATGGGAGAAAAATAACTGCCACAGGATTGTTGCCACATGCTTTTACCACAGTCTTTGTTTCTTTGTCAGCAAAGTTTTATGGCTATGGTATCGAAATAATTATTGTTTGAATTAGCGCTAATGTTGGTCGCGAGGAAACATGGCAAAATGGTACTCGGCTGTTGACCCGCAGGTCCCGGGTTCATATCCCGGTAGTGGCGTCTGCATTTCCGATGGAGGCGGGAATGTTGTAGGCCTGTGTGCTCAGATTTGGGTACAGGTTAAAGAACTCTAGGTTGTCGAAATTTCCGGAGCCCTTCTCTACGGCGTCTCTCATAATCATATGGTGGTTTTGGGACGTGAAACCCCACATATCAATCAAATCAAACATAGAAAAACGAAGTGTTTTTCGTATATTATTTACAAGAGTGATTTTTTCTTGTCGAATAAAATATACATTGTTTGTTTAAAGGCATTTCGCAAGAGTTGAAAATACTTACTACTCTAAAAACTGAAGACGTCTTCACACATTTTTACCCTGGGTTCTTTTGCTGATAAGACAGTCGTTAAAGCATAAACGTAAAGGGTGAGCATTAAATTGCGAAAAAAGCCTTACTGTTCATAACCTAAAATTCAATCAAACACTACATGACAGTTGTCATGTTACGGCAGAAGTTAAGATGATGATAGGGAGGAGGGGGGGTTGAATGAGAGTCAAATTGTTAGAGAAAGCTTGTGTTTGGAGCCAATCAAGGTTTTTCAAGATTAGGTTGTTTTGAATGTTTGAACATAAATCGTTTATGTAAGTCGTGGCAGTAACCTTGATACGGTTTTCTGCTCTGGAAAATAGATGTCCTCTCATCGAATCACTCATTTTTAGCATCACGGACATAGTGTTATAAAACTGTTGAGCAGCCAGATCCCTGCTAAATGCCTTGTGCTCTGCAGCTTATGTTTTTCACACAGTATCATTACATTAGAAGCAATTGTTAAAGTGGAGGATTTGTAATGCATGTGTTGAGATGTATACCTGATCATAAAAAATTATTGAACGAATGTTAGAGCTTGGTATTCGGCAACAGAACCTTTCTTTACTGAAGCAGCAAACTGCGTCAAGGTTGCTGCCATAACTTAGACCAATTGTCTTATTCAAACATTGGCTCGAACAACACACTTATTTAGCAATATGACACTCATTCAAGCCCCCATCTTCATGTTAGCTCCTGCCCTAATAAGATGTACAATTGTCATGTAGTGTATATTGTATTTAAAAAATATATATGCAAGCCTTGCTTCTTAATCAATTGCTCACCATTTGTATTGATGCATTATTCATTGTCTTCAACAGGCTAATACCTCCTCCATGAAGTTATGAATAATGGACGTCTACCCATCCAGAACTCTGTCACGCGCAGTGACAGAGTGCTGGACGGGTGGAGACAACGGAAATGACAACGAAGTCCTGATCCTCTTACCTCAACAGCTCCTGTTTCTTGCTCCAAGGGTGCCATTACAATATGTTCACTGCCGCACGTAGGCCTTTGCAGTGGTCTACAATATGCTTTGTCCTGTGTAAAGTTGCATAATATAATGCAAACATCTTATGTTCACCCCACATAACTCTTCCTGGTGTTAGTAGTTACAGAAATTGTAACTGCCACACCATGGCCCTAGTTAAACAGAATTTGTTATGATAGTCTATGAATTCTTTTGCAGTTAAAATATAGTGTGTTTAACGTTGTTTTTTTGTCTACTATAGCAATAGGTCTTCATAGCATTCTTCTGCTTGTTCTGCATGTGATCAATTCTTGTGCAGAAATGCCGTCTGCTTTTGTGATTCATGAAATAGTGGTGTGAACAGAGGTGATGTATGTAGTAGGCACCATAGTGGTTTAAACTCTGCACAGTGCTGCTGCAACAATAGTTATTTTTTGTGCTTCCTTTTTAGACATACAGAAAGGAGCCAAGTGGAGCTGTTCATGGGCCATGTATACAGTTTTATAAGCGGGCTTTCAGCACTTTTGACAATTATGTTTCTGAATAAACCTGCCAAAGTTGTGTTTAAAAAAGCGTGTAGTAGTGCATTTCGTTGTTCAATTGGCATGCTGCAGCAGGTATGACTCATACATCTGCAAGATAATGCAGCACAGTGCATACACACAAACTACCCCCCCCCCCCAATACACTCTGGATTTGTGGATTAACTCTAAATTGTTTACTCTGATCTTGCACAACAATTATTAACAAAATGACAAGACAGCTTTGCCATCTGTGGAGGTAGCGTTGTCAGTATACGCTGGCAATAAGTGTGCAAAGTTCAACCGCTCCACTGTTCACATATTTTCTTGTAAACATTCAGAGATAGAAGGCCGGGGTTGTTGGAAGCTGATACAAGTAACGAATGAACCACGACTCCAGAAGCTTTCTGTTTTCTCACGTTTGTACACGATGTGGCATAGTCAAATTGTTCAGGCTGCAGCTGTGTCTTGTCACCTAGCTGCGTTCAACAATCTCTGTGTCAGAACATGTGTCATGGAAAACTTAAGCAACATCCTCTTTACGTTCTTTAAGTTTCGGCGACCATTTTTCATTTGTTTTGCTCATAGAAGTTGCGTCGCAATTTCCACTTTATACTTTACCGATGACCTCACTCGAATCTTCAGTGCTTTTTGGTATACTTTGGGATATACGTTCACGGACCGCACAACTGCGCATGATCGAAGGAAGGTTATCAACTGTGCACACGGGGGTATTGCAACACCACTACTATTGGCAAAATGGTCAGAAAGAGTTCAGAGGTTTAAAGACTGCAAAGAGGGGATGCTACTATTGCCACCAGTGCAGCTTATTCCAAGACTTAGTTTAACTGAAGTGCCTCTACTTCATAAAAGTAGTGCCAACTGCTTTCCCCTCCGCCGCCTCCTCTCCTGCGCGCCTTTCGCGAGCGACGGTGGCGCCCCCTCGAACGCTCCATGTGTATGCGTGAAGCTTTCAGGGCGGATGCGCGCTGGCGCTCCTACTTTAGCCACAGCCTTTCTAGTCCAGCCGTGGCCGCGTGCCATGTCTCGCATACGGCTGCGTGTAATGATTCTTTTTATTTCTGCGTTCATTTTCCCAGTCGGTGTCGGTGTGCGCACCATCTAACTCTTTTATAGTGCGCCAGGAGAGCTGCACGCCGTTCACGGTTCTTTTCGAAGCGTAGCGTTTTCCTGTATATCTGGCGCGGATATCGGTAACTGGGTTTACTTTAAAAAGGTTGAGAAAAAATACTGTAAGCACGACGCGCTATTTATTGCATCGGTAAAAAATATTTACGTGGCAGCTGTGATGTCAAGCCACGCCGTTTGGGAAGGAATAGTTCGTGTATCTCTATCATATTTAACTCCAGCAATGTCTGCGATTTCCAAGAAGGTGTTCCATCAAAACTTCATGACGTTTCATATATGTTATTTTTCCTCGGCCTGCGGTGATGTAGCGGCGCTTACCTGTTGACCCGAAGGTCGCGGTCCCGGCCACGGCAATTCAATAGAGGTGAAATGCTAAAGACCCGCGTACTGTGCGATGTCAGTGCACGTTAAAGAACACGAGATGGTCAAATTTTTTTGAAGGAGCTGCACGTAAATGCACGGCCTTCAATGAACTCTGCGCGCAGTTTTCTTTTTTTGCTATCGCATTTTCATTCTGACGCTCGCTCTGTCTTCGCCCTTCCATCCGCATATCACAGTGAAAGGTTAGTAGAATGTGTGAAACACAACCTAGTGTTCTTTCAGAGTTAATAATATGCGGGCCAAAACCGCGATATGATTATGAGGCACGCCATAGTGGGGGGCTCCGGAAATTTCGACCATCTGGTGTTCAAAACAGTCCCTTGCTCGAGCAAGTGACTGTCTTGGTGCATGACAAATTCCACAAACTTTTCCGTGGCATTGAATAAGTAATACACCACATATGTCACACGGCAAAGCAAGGCGCCTGTCAAGAGTAAAAACGCACGAGCACTTACCTCACAAAGGCGCGCCGATCTCGGCTCGTAGTTTACTCGACCTATTCCGTGGAGCCAAACTTTGCGACGACCTGCATTCTCTTTCACGCGCGGAATGGCAAAAAACTTTTTCCCTTGGGAGTCACGGTTATGGCAGCCAAACGCACAGCAACCCGGCATCGCGACAAGACGAGCGAGACGCACACATGCGCTTCACAATTCGTGCACTTAACATCGGGCGAATACACAGCAAATGGCACGTTGGAGCCTTCAACATGGCGCCGAGAGGTGAAGGAAACAAAATACCGAGAAAATGGGAGCTCGCTACCACGTGACCGCAGCCGCCCCATCAGAGGCGTGGAGAGGAGGAAGCGGCGTAGATCAAGAGAATGCTGTACTTTTCCGAAGGTACAGGGGCTTTAAGTTTAACTGCTGGACAACAAGGAATAGCTTCTATACAAACAGTGCTTGAAAGTGGCTTGTAGACAAATTGGGGGGGGGGGGGGGGACTTGGAATATTGGTTCATTTGTTGTCAACCATTAACTTCCAAGAACAACATGTTCACGAGAATGTATATTGCTAAACAACTGGTCAACCTTCACTGACTTGTTGCCAACATATGCTGCAACTGCCACCTGCTTAGGTGGGGACACTTCTATGCAAGTGTATTATTGCTATTCCAAGTGAACTTTTTACACTAGTTAATTCGCACGTAGTACATCTTTGCGTGTACAGATTAGCTCAACCAAAAGAAATCTGCAAAATGGGTAAGGGGAGGAAGTCATGTGAACTTAGGACGGGTAAACTTTTGTCCTTGTTGGTGTAACATTTTCATAAAGTTCAGCGTAGCACTTCAAATCTCAAGGAGGGGACAGGCTTGTGTATGTTCAGCCTGTTCCGTCTTCGTCATTTCAGTGCCGTGATTAGCTCTATAAACATGTCATGTGCTCATTGTGCCTTTGTTTGCTGCACATTTCATTCTTGTGTTCTTTGTGTAAAGTTTTGTTCAATTGGACTCCTGTTCGATTTGGTGTAGTGTACATTACAAACAGGTACTTTAGGGAGCTAGCCATGAATGACTGCATTCATTCCACAAAATCATGCTACCTGTGCAAAATATATAGTTTGTTGTGATCATTCTATGAACCATGATCTCACTTGCAAATGAAGGTGTGCCCAGAAACTAAATTAACAGCGTGTCCAGCCAACAAAACTCTCGGTCAAACAACACAAATAACTCCCATTCACAGGCACGCAGAACATAAATAAAGTTCTCTAATGCTATATTTTGCAAGCAGGCTGCATGGTACAGCTGGGGTGCGGCATTCTGGGGTGCGGCATGCTGTTGTGCGGAACAAAACAGCAGACTATTGTGTTGAACAATACAAACGTTTTTCGTATTAGTTGCAATAACTTATAGAATACGTAAAAACACCTTGTTTGAAGGAAATTGTTGTATTTTGATCATGGAATAATATCTCCCGCCTTAATAGAGTGACGGCTTGTTCTGTAGTAACTAGGCTGAAGCATGACTTCTGTGAAGAGGCTATGTCTTAAGGAGATAGTTTTATTCTTGCTCACGGAATTGCTCGGCACCGCTATTCCTTCAGCATTCTCCGCGAAGGAGGGTCCTCATTTTTCACTGTGCAGAACATGTTCCATCACTTCCTAACCTCCCTCACAGAATGTACATCGTTCTTCGTCTTTACTGAATTTCGCCAGTTCTAAGGCAACCGGACCTCATTTCACACAGTAAAGTGCTTCCCATTAAAATTTTCACACCTCTCCCACCTTATTTCATTCTTTCCGTTTCGGTAGTTACTGAGAGCTGGCTTCTTTTCCATCGCTGTCATCCCATAAATCCTCTCCGCCTCTCTGACTTTTCGCTTAATGCTCCTTGTTGCTGCGTCGCCCACACTGCCAACCGTATATTTACTGGCGAGCCTCCTTGTTCTTTTACTCCACTTTGTGTCCACGCACTTCCTATACAAATACCTGAGCACTTTTGCCGCCTATCTACTATCCTTTATTTTCCTAAGCTTCCTTTCAAGTCTTTTCTTTTTGCTCCGAGCTTCCCTTACTTCAAAGCCTGTCCATCCCATGTCCCCCTTTAAAGCCTCATTCGTCGTCTTCCCGTGAGCGCCCAACGCGAGACGTCCCTCAGTTCTTTAATTTACATACATTCCTGATTGCACCCCTGACTTTATGCACACTACTCAGTTCCCAAATGTAAGGTTAAGGTTAAGGTTAAGGATGTTGTAAGTAACTGGCGGATCTAGCCTTGCATACTTTGCAGGTGATGGTCCCACCCAGTTTCCTCTTTGCTGATTGTAGCTAATGTCCTTTGTTTGTTTTTACCTAAGCACAAGCAGGCCCTTAAAATACTCTGCGCTATTCCACATGCAATATTGTGCCGGTACTTTAGCTCGCTGCACCTTACCCCAAACGTACTTGTCACTTATTACCAGTCACATGCGTTGTCTGTAGCATTGAAAAATTTCAAGAGAAGTCCCGGCACTTCTTTTCTGAAAATTGGGAGACCACGCGGAAACACAATATCTGTCACACAACACGCTGTCATATGGCGAGCCTAACCGTTGTAGTTTCTCAAATAAACCTTGCCGTTCCTTCTTAAGCTCACTACACTTAAGCAAATAGTGTTCTATATCGCCATTTCCCTTTGCGCTTTGGGCACAGAGCGTCGCGGAGAGTGTGATCTTGTGGAACCATGCTGGTGTACATGCTGATTCCGTTTGGATACGATGAAACAAGCAGTTCTCTTCCCTTGATAGCCCTTTTCTCCCACATATGGCTGAGGCATTTGGCATAACGAGTGAAAATGCTTATTGACAGCTTCTCGCAAGATACGCTGTCTTCGGGAGCCTTCTTAGTTTTTTTGTACACTCAGTAAGGACAAGCAGGTTATCGTTTAACCACTTGTCGATTCGGAATTCATTCTGAAATAATGATGATGATGATGATGATGATGACGATGACCTCTTATGGATGGCGCTCACCCACAGAGAGGGATGGGCCAAGAACCGGGCGGCAGGATACTTAAATGAAACTAAAATGAAAATGAAGCC